AGAAGAAGAAGAAGAAGAAGAAAAAACATTATCGAGTACAATATTTGAGTTTACACCTATTATTTCATCCCGTCCAAAATTTAGATTAAAAGTAGTTGTTTGGTCGATGGGCCCCCCCTTCTATTAAAAATAAAAAGAAAAATATTCAAAAATTTATCTAGAAAGTGGGTGCATCATAGATATTAAATTTGATGCGTCGTGGGGTTCTTATATAAAATGAATCAAGTTTATACATTTCAAATTTTAAATTTTTTTTGAATTTTTTTTTCTGAGTTTATAACATTTTAAAACTGGTAGATTTGAACCTTGACGTCCAATGTCATAGTAGCTTCCAATTCCAAGTTCTCACTAGGCTCAACACTGTTTAATTTTATTTATTTATTTATTTTTTTTTATTTTTTTTTCTACCATACAATTTTTGCTTCTTTATTTTTATTTTTTGGACTAGGGACTTTGGATATGGTCTTTGAACTGAATATAAAATTACTTTCATTAAATTCAAAATTATTTTACATCTACAAATAGAGACCATTTCAATAATTTGAAAATTTGCTCTTTTTTTTTTCGTGATGTTCGTAAAACAAAATTATTAGTAATGACTGGGCTTGTTCGAGGTACTTGTTTTATGGACAGGGCACTGTGGATATGATCTTTGAACTGAATATAAAATTGTTTTCATTAAATTCAAAATTACTCAATCACCTTCAAATAGAGATCACTATTCAATAATTCTGTTCAAAATTAACATTTTTTACGTGGTCTTTTAATATATAAAAAAAAAAATTATGGGCAGTGACTTGCATGGTTTTGGAAGCCAGACTGGACCGACCGGTTCGACTGGTTGAAACATCGACCGGTCAGGATTCCGGTCTGGATATATCTTCTAAATCGTTCGAAACAAAAAATTGGCCTATTTAGAGAGAACCAACACCGGCGGTTGAACTGCCGAACCAGTCGACCAGGGCACGGTTCACCAGGTCGATGAATTTGGAAATTTTGAATTTTTTTTTTTTTATATTTTCTAACTTTTTTTTTTCCTTATTATATATATATTTATAAAAGAAATTTTTAACTAGAAACTCTCTTTCAAGGGTCTCTTCTTGTGAGGAATCCCCATTAAGAGCTTGAAATTATTGTTAAAGTCTCTACCTATTTATCAGAAAAAAATTCTTTCAAAAAAATTCAAAAAATCCATGTGGGATTCAATCAAATTTATTAGAGGGAGACTAGAAATTTTGATATCACTCCAAAATTTTTGCTCTTCCTTCAATCAAATTATTTGAATTAAAATTATATAGAGGAAATATCGAATATTTGATTTCCTCTTCCAAAATTAAAATTAATAATATTTTAAAATATATTATTATATTTTTAATAAAAAAATATTAGGAGAAATATTTAAGATAATTTAATTTTTTTAATTTACAATTTTATTACTTATATTTTTATTTGAATATAATTTTAATATATTTATTACGTTGCGGTTTGATTCCGGTTCAATCCAACGGCTGAACCGGTGATCCGTCCACCCGATTTCTTTTCCGGTTCGCTCACCAATCTGGTTTTTAAAACATTGGTGACTTGTACTCTACTAATATGTTGAGTCTTAAGTTTTTCAGGAGAAACGAAAATGAAAGAGATGTGAAATTACTTCTACAGACGTTTCAATTTTTGTCGATGATAAAATAAAAAAAATTGGATTTATTGTTAACGAAATTGTTAAATATAATAATTATATATTCTATCTATCATATATATTATATTATATTCATTATCATATTTAAGCTTAACATAATTAGATTTCTCTCTTTCTATATAAAGAGTCTTATATACATTGTTACATTAATTATTCAATATAATATTGAATACACACATCATATAATATTCTATTTTTCTCCCTTTTAGATGTAACATGATATTAGAGTTCTTGGTGTTCTTTGTCTTTTTACATGCGGACAGCAACTTTGCTTTGACAGCCCGCTATACCTGAACCCATTCCGCTATCATATTTCCCTCAGTATCACTTTGTAATGATCTCTTCCTCTGACATTAGTTTATTTCTACCTCAAATATCTCTATCATATATATATATATATATATATTCGCAATACATTTTTTTGTATGTGTGTATTTCTTCTCCACTTTGTCTTTCCCTCTGCTTCAATCTTAAATAGGTATCTATCTTCAAACTTATTTGAGTTTGAGGAGAGAATATTACACCTATATCATGGTGAGCATGGTTATACACTATGCAAACCACCCAAGTCGCCTTCCTTGGCATACTCCCTAAGCTGTCCCCTTGGCACACTACCCTAAGCCGTTGCCTTGGCGCATTTTGTTCATTTCCAAGCCACCTTCTAGCACACATGGTTTCTTTTCAAGCCGCCGCTCTCTGGCGCACATGATTCATTTGTTGCCATTATCGTTTAGCACCATGTCATAAGCTATGTGTATGCTACGTTTGCTGGTTCAACACCTGTTCTTCTTCTACAACGGTTTGATACGACCATAAACTGTCTTCCAACATTAGCTTTGTTAGCTCTGGTCTTGTTGCTACAACAGTCTGACAAGACCATAAACTATCTCTGGACATTAGCTCCGGTATCTAATCTATCTCAAATGCCTCTATGCTCTCCAGTCATGTTCATACACTGGTCTGACACGATCATAAATTGTCTCCTGGCATTAGCTCTAGCCTATGATCTATCTCAAGTGCCCATGTGCTCCTATCTGGACTTTGTAATATATTTGTCTCGGATCTATCCATGTTTTATTTTATTTTTAGCTCATATTTTAGTTTCTCTTTCCAAACTCAAGTTGGTATCCCTACTTGAATTTGAAAGGAGGTGTTAAATATAGTAACTATATATCTGGTTTATCATACATACCATATCATATTTATTACCATAGTTAAGATTACCATAATTAGGTTTCTATCCTCCTATATAAAGAAGTCTTGTATACATTGTTACATTAATTATTTAGCATAATATTGAATACACGCACATCATATATTATTCTCTTTCTCCCTCTTAGATTTTGTAACAAAAAGAAAAAAAAAATTAATTTCTTTCACTCTATTTTTTATTATATTTTCCATATTTTTTCATTTTTCTTAACATATTGAAAATCCAAACATAGTTCAAATGTTGATCGTGGCCATTCAGTTTGACAAATTTCTGTTTATTTATCTTGAAAGAAAATTAAGGTGGTGTTATCTTTCGTGACAAAAAAATTATTCACTTTGTTTGGTTCTAGTTTTTTGAAAATAATTTTCAAAAAATTCTATTTTTTTTATTTTTCTTATTTTAATATTTTCAATGATTTTTTTTTTAATATTTTAGGCAATTTTTTTAATTGTTAGACACACCTAACATAAATACACTTAAAAAGTACAATATTTGTGAAAAAAACTTTAAAAAATACTCTAAATACAAAAAAAATACACAAATTCAGTACATTTTTTATATTTTTGTGTATTTGTTAATTTTTTAAAATATTTTTTCACAAATATTTCACTATTTAGATACATCTAAGTAAGGTCAATCTAAAAAAGTAAAAAAAAAAAATTTGTTTAAAATATTCATTAAAAACAAAAAAATACGAAAAATAAAAAATTTAATTTAAAAAAAATTAAATTCAGAAAGTTGAAGCCACACATACTGATTATTTCTGAAACATGATAATGTCACACATCAAAAAGTTTTTCTCGCATGAGCGTGAGAAGATTAAAAATAGTAACACATAAATATGAAAAGACAAATGTACCCTTGTATACAGAAATATTGACAAGAACATTATAGTGGGTGATATTATTAACAACATCAAATTGTATTTCTCCAACTGAGCCTACCTAAGCTGATTGTTCTAAACAAAGGTCAACTTTGATTGGGACCCATTCCACAGTTATATAATTAAAAAAAAAATGAAAAATGAAAAATGAAAAAAAAAAAGAAAAAGAAAAAACAATGGTCAATGATCAAACAGATCAATCCATTGCCATCTCCAAGTCCCAATCAATGGGGGCCATTAGCTGTTAGCCATAACATCTTAATCGTAATGCTATATATAAATATATATTACTGATTTTGTTATCAAAGATTATAAATCTATATATTTATATACTACACTTGCATATACACAAGTAGATGCCTGTTCTTCCATGCACTTAAATAAATATATAATATATAGTACTAGCTTTATTATTAAACTCGTTTGTGGAAGAAGAGACTGGGATTTTGATTAATTTTTTTTGGTCTTTCTCAAAGCCTGAGCCCTCCACAAAATCCAAAAAAAATTGTCATTATTTTTCTTGTTCTATCTATTATACAATTTCCCACCTTTAGCCTGACCATTTCAAATGAGTGAGATTCTTAATTAGCTTGTCTTTTATTGAATATGTTCTCACAACAAGCAACACAATTTTTTAACCTCTCTAAAGAACCAGATGAAGAGAATTCTCTAATATGAAAATAACAAAAAAGTTTGAAAACAATTCTCATTTTCATTATTTTCAATTTTGTGCGGAAATAGTCTTCGAAAATTCAGAAAATAATTTGAAAGTGTTCTGTAAACTATCTTGAAAATAGTTTAAAAAGACATTTTACTAAACAGGTTTTCTGTAGAGATTCTTATATAATTTTTTTTAAAAAAAAACATTTCAAAAACATAAAACAAAAGTAAAACCAAACAAACCTTATAGCTCGAAAAAAATTCTGTAAAATATATTTTAATAGATGAAGCGTATGATACATATTTGAACTTAACATGTTTACTAATCATATCAAGAATAAATTTCATGTTCACATTTTATCTTCAGAAACTTTTTCTCACTACATATTTGTTGCTGGAAAGAAAAATAACTACTTGTTTCAATAGTTCATTCAAAATCAATGCCAAAAGTTACACACACACACACACAATATGTACTACATAAGGAACTGAAATGAACAAACAGTGGATGGTTTATTACTATCTTCCACATTTTTGAATGATAGAACTTCTACAATTTTCATGACATTTATTTCTGAGTTCTGAAAAAACGTACAAACATGCAAACACCATCACTGCCCAAAAAGAAATGCACAAAAAGAAAAGCAAGCTTTACCATGTACTGTCAAGAGAGAGAGAGAGAAAGAAATATAAAAAACGAAAGAAAGAAATTGTTTTTCATTGATATCCATCACAACACAAAATCCCAGAAACTGATAGTCTTTTTCTGATGAATGAATCTCCTTCCCTCACCATACACCATGCCATGCCCCTTCAAATCTTTCTGATTTTACTTACAGTCAGTTTTTTAATATTTCATGATATGATCAGTAATAGTAGTCCATGGTCCTCTCTTGTGTCTTGTTTTCATCATTGAAGAAGAAGCTATTATTGTTGTTGTTGTTACACTCATTATCAGTACTAATCAGCTTCTTAACTTCCTCAAGATCATACTCTAATGGAGTATTCCCAAAATACCCATTTACATTTGGCTTCTCATCAATCCATGTACATGTACTACTGATCAGATTTTGATCACCTCCATTGTTGGGGTTGTTGTTGTTTCCATAATCAAGCATGAACTTGTGATTCTCTTCAAACCCATTTGACATGTAACTCTGAAACCCCATGTCTTCTTGTTTGATCTCTTTTCCATGGCTGATCTGACTGCAACTTCCATCAGAAGATGAACAACTTGCTTGATCACCAACAAACACCAATTGGAAGCTCTCTTTCAATGGTGGGTAATACTGCATAGGACTGAACAAGCTCTCTTGTGTTTGAAGAAGACAATAATTGGCTGATAAAGAAGGATTGTAGTTGTTGTTGATGAGATTAGGTGGTGGGATTGAAGTGGGTTCAAGGGCTGTGAAAGACCTAGCTGGGTTGTTGTTGTTGTTGTAATATGAAGTGCAATCTCTGTACAGTGGTGGTGGTGGTGGTGGCGGTGGTGGAGGAAATTGAGAATGAGGCGGTGGTGGTGGTGGGTATGGTGGTGGTTTTCTGTGATTAGGTGGGACCATTACCATACCCATGAGCTTCTTCTTGAGTTTGGTGTTCCAGTAGTTCTTGATATCATTGTCAGTCCTGCCTGGTAACTGAGCTGCTATAATTGACCACCTGCACTTGATGGGAATAACTTCCATACATAAGAAGAAGGAAAGCTTATCTGTCTCTGAGCTTATCCCTATGCATTAACAGCTGTGTAATTGAGTTTTGGTTTTAGATCTAAACTTGTCATGCATGCACCAGAATTGTCCAAATATAGCAGAATCTTGTAACAAACATCTTTAATACTCTTAACCAAATCAATCTCTCTCTTTGTCTCTCTCATTTATGTTCTTTTAACCCATTTTTGGATGGACACCATCAATATTCAGAGATCAGAAGAGATGATGATTTAGGGAAAATGGGTAAAAAGGGATAACCAGGTCAATTTGGGTAAGTATAGGTCTCTTGTATCTAGAAACAGCAAAAAAAAAGGGATTTTTATTTATTTATTTGTTCTTGATTATCATAAAGGAAATTATGCAAGAAAACAAAATGAAAAAAAATATAATAAAAGCAAGGAAATTGGAGTGTACCTGCTTCCTATGCTAGCAAACAAGGTGCAGATGATCCTATCTTCTTCCTCAGAAAATTCACCATGTTTGATGTTAGGCCTTAGATAGTTTAGCCATCTCAACCTGCAGCTCTTCCCACATCTCTTTAGACCTGATGATCCAACACCAATCAAATCAAAATCCACCACAAATAAAGCAATAACAGAGAGAGAGAGAGAGAGTACAAATCAAAATCAAATTGAATTTAAATTTGAAATGGGGTTGGTTGGTTTGTCTGTGTTGAAAAGTTCACAATAGTTACCAGCTTTTTGAGGGAGAGCGATCCAGTTACCACCAGTGCCATATTTCTCTATGAACTCTTTAAGCTTGGAGTCTTCTTCAGGTGACCATGGCCCTTTCTTCACATTTGCCTTGTCACAGCAGGGAGCCCTCCCCATCTCTCTCTCTCTCTCTCTCTAATTGTGTGTTGTGATTTTGTTGGATCTCTTTTGGCCTTTTTGAGGAAGTAATAAAGTTGTCTCTCTTTTCAAATGGACTTGGTGGTGTGTGTTTGTGGTTCTTTCTAGTGACCTTTTATTGAGAGCCCTGGGGATTGTAAGTTTGTAACAGTAAAAACAAAAATTATTCTTAGTATTATTTATTGAGAGATGATGCAGAAGTCAAAATGATTGGCCTGTTTGATCAGCCTCCAACTCCTTTGCTGAATAACTAGACAGAAAAATTTTCATCTCAACAACTTGAAACCCTACATCCAAATCCAACCTTACTCCTTTGAACAAGATTTATTTTTTTTTAAGACAAATTATGTAAATAATTCCTGTATTTTAATTATTGTATTATTTTAGTTTTTGTAATTTTAATTGATTTGATTTTGACAGTAAATTTATGATTTTGTTTTAATTTAGTCAAATTCATTATAATTATTAGTTGGTGAGGTGTATTTTGAGCAATGCCTGGATCAGTCTCTGATTTGTTACAGTAGTGGGCAGGTGTTAAACTTAAAAAAAAAAAGAGTTGGCTATCTGGAAAGTCATACCATTGGCGGTGCTTTGGTCTATTTGGAAGCAGAGGAATGAAAGCATTTTTAAGAGCTCACTAGTGGATTTTGAAGGGCTGTGTGATTCTATTAAGATCATTGTGGGTCAGAACTTCAAACGCCTATTTACTCGGTAAATGATATTGTGTATAACTTACAGCAGGTTAAATTATGCATAAAGGGTTGATTTTTGTGTTGATTAAGGCTGTTGCTAGGGTTGTTATTTGTGTTGTGATCTGCTTGGCAATCTGGGGTTGATTTTCTTGGGGGTTTTCTCTTCTTGTTGAGCCTGGTTTCTGACCAACCCTTTGTGGTTGAGCTTGTAGGTGATTGGGCCATCTTCTCGGTGTCAACCTAGTTGGAATTGGGTTGGTTCGCTATGATGCTTTCTGCTATTCCACTCCTTTATGGATGTAAATCTCATATGTAATTGTATGCTTTTGTCATCAATAAAGTTTTTTTTTTTTTGCTGATAAAAATAAACAAAAATATATAAAAAAGAAGTATCGTGTGCCATGTTTTTATATGCAAAATTATGAATTTTCTTAACTTAGTGAGTTAACCTCAATTTATTTAGGACAAGTATCATAGTTTAAAACCACGTTCAAGTATATTTCAACCCCAACTCTCTCTCTCTCTCTCTGTCTCTCTAAAAACCTCCACCCCCGGGCCTCACTTTTGGCAGGCCGGTCGCCGCTTTTGGCTATGGCGGTTGGCTGGTCCAGCTCCCCCTTTGGTCTTTCCTTATAATAACTTGATTCCCACATTTTTTCCCACTTAGGTGTGTTTCGGTGCTGTTGGTCCAGCTCCCATTGGGGTTGTTTTGTTTTGTTTCACCAAGGGGTGCTTGGTTTAGGGGTCAAAACAGAGTAGATGGTGGTCGGTTTTAGTCTGGATTAGCAGTTGTTCTAATCTGGCTAGGAGTTTCATTCAGGTGTTCCTGTGCGAGTGGGAGTTTGAGGGATGAATCTTTGGTTCGAATCTTTGGTGATGTTTCGGTCCAGATCTTAGATCTAAGAGTTCAAATCTAGATCTAGATTTTCGATCCAGATCTAAGATTTCATTCGAGCGCTCCTTTTCGTGTGGGTATTTGAGGGGTGAACTTTTTTCAGATGTATGGCGGTGCCTTGGCAGTTTGGTCGTTGTTTTGGGTGTTAACTTTGGAGCTTCTGCAGCAGGTGTGTTCGGAGTTTGGATCGGAACAGAGGTGTCCGACCATGGAGCTAGAGTTGGCAGTGGGTTTTGTTCCGCAGTGGCAGCGGGTTTTGTTCGTCATCAGGTGTGTTCGGTTGCTGTGAGTGTTCGGAGGTTTGAATCGGAAGTGGAGTGGAGTTGGGTGTTCTATAAGGAGGTGTTCCGACCGTGGAAGTGGTGGTGGGTGTCCTATTGTTCAAGGGCTTGCAGAGAAGTTGGCCTTCAAATAGGTTGCTAGCTTGGAGTCAAAAGATGGTTACAGAGGCAAGGATGATGGTGTACCAGGGTAGGTGAGCCAGCAAGGGGTAATCAGCAGAGTGGAGAAGAGGCTGATAATGGTCTTGGCAGCTCAGGTGGATTGGGAGTGCAACAGCAATGGGAGATAGTTTGTTAAGCTTCGGTATTTTGGTATTGGTTTTTGGGTTCGGGTTGTGTGGGTTGATTTTGTGGGGAGTCTTGTATTTTATTTTCTAGTTAAGTTCTTCTTAACTTTTTTGTTTTAAAAAAAAAAAATCGTGAGGCCAAGGGATTGGTTGTATGGATGCGAGTAGCAGTAGTAGGAGTATTCTGTACTTTCCGAATCTCTCTCGATGCATGTCATCTTCCTGTACCTTTAATTTCATGCTTTTAATGAAATTTTTCTTTACTGATTAAAAAAAAAAAAAAACCTCAATTTATTTAGTGCTTATTTTCCAAGTAATGTTTGGGATCATAAAAAAAATCATGCGATGCTTCATGAAGATTTTTCATCGTTTGATTATATGTGGTACTTTATTGTATGTGTAATCGAAGAATGGATAATTTTCATGAAGCATTTTATGATATTTTCATGATCCCTAACATGATTCTTATTTTCTGTCAGAAAAACTAAGAACGTTATTAATTAGACCAAATAGATACAAAATTTAAAATAAAAAGTCAAAATTAGGCCAATTGAAAGTTGTTTGCCCTTAATTTTATTTTATTTTTGTGTGTTTTTGTAATTTATTGTTATTTTTGTGTGTATTTTTTCATTTTTTTAAAAATAGTTTGTTTTAGTTTTAACTTTTGGTAATAAAAAAAAAAAGAAACTAAAACTAAAACCAACAACCTTTAATAAGTTTTTTTGTTTTTGTTTTGTTTTGTTTTTGTTGGTTTGTTTGTTTGTTTGTCTTTTTTTTTTTTTTTTTTTTTTTTTTTTTTTTTTTTTTTTTAGATTTGAACAACCTTTAATAAGTTTAAAAATACTAATAAGAAATAATAATAATAATAATAATAATTCTGTAAAAAACTAACTTTTGAGGCGAAGGTTTGGTTTAGGAACGTACTATTTGAGTAATTTTTAATTTTTTGTAAAAAAATATACAAAAAAATAGAGAGATATGTGGCAATTTATAATGATTTTTTTAATAAATTACCAAACAAACTAATCTAAAGTCTTATTATAAGAAGAAATATAATTAGCAAACAACTTGATAGCTATTGGTCTCTGACTAGTGACATTTTACAAACTATAAGTTACAGCCAAAAAACTAATATGGGAAAACAGAGGTCAGTGGAACTCTAAAAATTTAATTACTTACTGATAAAAAAGTTGATCATTTTATATTTTAATATTTATAAAATTTATCATTAATTTATAAATATTTTTTCAAACTTACACTGACATGTAATATCTCAAACCATATTTGTGATAATTTTGTTTTATCCTTAAAATAAAACCCAAAAAACAAACATGTGTGTTTTACAAATTATTTTATAACCATCCAACAAGATTATATGTGCATGTGATTAAAACACATAGAATTTGCACACTAATTAGAAGGGACAAAGAGCCATTATTAGGAGATCCTGGTTTTCACTGGTGTACAATATAGGCATAGAACCAATATAAGCATAGTGACTGATGAGAATGATCATGTTTGATGGGTCCATTTTGTAAGATTCTAGGATACACTATATTCATCAGGTGTTTTGGATTGACTAATCAATGCTACCTTTCTCGAATAGTCACAAGCTTGTATGCAATAGGCAAAACCATTTCAAAAAAAAAAAAAAAAAAAAAAAAAGAAAAATACACCGTAACATTTCCTCAACAGGACCTTTCTACTAAGAAAAATGCTTTGGAGCTCTAATTTTTGAGCTCTAAAGGTAGCTCTAATGAGTTGGCAGTGGGCTCCACCCACAGTAATGTGATGTTTTGGTCTTGATTTGTTTTTATTTTATTTTTTTTATTCATTGTCATGTTATTAGTGCTCTATTAGAGCATCAAAATTAATGATCTAAATCATTGCTGTTTCTACTAAATGTCACAATGCAACAGGGGCCTAAAAACTATAGGGGTGAGCATGGTCCGGATTGGACCGGATTGGGATAAAACCAGGACCAATCCGTTATCTACGGTTCCTAAAAAGTTGGAACCAATCCAATCCGTTTAAATCATGGAACCAATCCGAACCAATCATTTAAATACGGATTGGATCGGTTTAAGACCACGGATTCACATAATTAAATAACAAAAATATAGAGTAATGATTCATCCCCCCTTTTCTCCCCACCCCCTTTGACCCCCTCTCTCTCTCATTGGTTACCTTTTCTTTTTCTTTTTCTTTTTTTTCCTGCTCCTCCAATCACCCCCTGCCACGTGGCAAAGGGGGTGAGGGGGTGACCCCTAAAAGGGGGTCCCAAGCATTATTCTTTTCTATAATAGCGACATACTATTTTAAAATTTAAACAACCATAAGATGGTTTCACTATAAGTATTTAAACCATTACAAATTAAAACTAAAAACCAACAAACAAGAGTAATGAAAGAAGATATTATACGGTTTTAGGTTTGAGTTTAGATTTTATATAGAATTAAGAGAAGATACTATGGGGGAGGATGTATAATAAAAATATAGACTATTTGTATACGGTTCGGATCGGTTCCAATCCGGAACCATGGGGTTCAATCCGGAACCAATCCGTAGACTACGGATTTTTAATTCTTCAATCCGGAACCGAACCGCGGATTCAAAAAACCAATCCAAACCTATCGGATTAGACTAGACTGGATCGAATTACGAATTTCACGGATCACTTGCTCAGCCCTAAAAAACTAATCAAAGAGATGTTATGGCCGAACCAAAAAATTAAGAAATAGTAAAATAAAACAAAGACAGAAGGATTTACATGGTTGGACTTGGGGGTCTTTTGAGAATAGTAAAAAAAGTCAGTTTTTAATTTTTTACTCATTTTGAGTTATATCATCTCTTATATTTTTTATTCACAAAAAGAAAAAATAGACTAAAAAAATTAAAAAATTAACTTTTTACCAACTTCTCAAAACACTCCTTAGT